ACGGTGATGGAGTCAGGAGGGCGACTTTCAGAACGGAGTGGGAAACGGTGGCGAAACTAAGCCTGGCTCCCCGAGGTCACCCCCTCCTCCCTGCCCCCCGACACGACGTGACCCATCCTGCCGACTCGGAACCAGGTGTCCGGCCCGGCTTGCGGACTCTCGGGAAGTGATCAGGGCGGCCAGCCGGCCTGGGCGCTCAGCCCAGCGGGGCTCGGAGTGACGGGAGTGGGCTCAACACCCCCCCCCCCAGGGGTACCCACAAACCCGCAGACTCGCACAGCTGCATCTCGTGAGGATCACAGGGAACTTCGCTGCTTTTCCACAGCTGTGACCAGAGTTAAACCACACGCTAACTCTGTCCCAGGTCCTCACTGCTCTTCCCCTGATCTCCCTGGGCTTTACTGCAGTGTACTCTGTTTTTACCCTGATCTCCCTGGGCTTTACTGCAGTGTACTCTGTTTTTACCCTGATCTCACTGGGCTTTACTGCTCTGTACTGTACTTTTACCCTGATCTCCCTGGTCTTTACTGCTCTGTACTGTGTTTTTACCCTGATCTCCCTGGGCTTTACTGCACTGGACTGTGTTTTTACCCTGATCTGCTTGGTCTTTACTGCACTGTACTGTGTTTTTACCCTGATCTCCCTGGTCTTTACTGCACTGGACTATGCTTTTGTCCTGATCTCACTGGGCTTTACTGCAATATGCTTTTACCATGATTGCAATTAAAACACGTATTGATTTTCATAATTTACTGTGATTTCACCCTTGTATGCTACCATAAAACTACTTCAAAACTCCTTTGGCTGACCTACAAACCTCATTACAGCCCAGGATTATTAACACTGACAGCATCAACATCTCCAGCAGACCTCCAGAGCTCACAAAAAGGGCACAACACTGACCACAAAGGGGAGGAGGCACAAACTCTGTGGTACCATGTGACTTTATCAGCTTGACCGCAGGTCGGAGATGGACACATGCAAGAAAGCTGATTATAAGAATATTTCATACTTAATGGTTTTATAAAGTGGTTTTCACCCCAATGTGCTTCACACAGCAAAACGCAGCTCCTTCTGAGTGACACACAACAGCCCCACTGCACTGCAGATCAGGGGGAGAAGAGAGAAACTCCAGATTGTCCAT